CAACAGGCCACACAAGTTTATTATCTCTCGTACCCATGCCAAACCGTCGACCGTCTTAAGGGTTGGGATGTTGTGTACAAGGTATTGCCACATGGTAAATTACCTATCCCAAACAATCAAGATTACAACATAGACCCCAACATATATGACGGAGAGTTCTTTCGAGAAGATGGGCTCGAAGGGAGTTTTGAGATAGACTTAACCGAAGCTCAGGGGATGGAAGTAGACAATGAAAGTGGTGCTAACGAGGACTCCGGAGACAAGGTTCAGAATGTGAAGGACTTAGAATTACTTCAGCGATTACATCTAAGCAATGACGGTGATGACAACATTCCTCCTTTGGAGCACGGGCATGATTATATCGACATGCATGATAGTGATGATGAGACTTATGATCCAGCTAATCCCGATCATGATGATTATGTCTAATACATGTACGATCCATGCTAATTGATTTATTATTTGTCATACCATGTTATTTTCTAAGTATATTTTGTTTATTTTGCATCTATTTCGATGTATTATCTGTGCTAATTGGTTTACTCTTTTTAATTGTAGGTGATTGAACAATGGTGGACGGTATGAGGAGGATAACGTCGCTTTACTCAAAAGCGATAGCGACACATAAAGGGTCCGATGCAGCTGTAGGGTCCGATGCAGCTGAGGGGTAGACCTAGGGGTCGAGGGAAGACAAGGCCACCATCGCATGTACCTTCGTCGCCGTCTAAGGTACCTTCCGCTCACTCATCCTCCTCATCCTCTAAGGAGGAGGAGGCAGGGGTGGAGGAGGAGGAGGCAAGGGTGGAGGAGGAGACAGGGGTGGAGGAGGAGACAGGGGGTACCTCTTCCTCTACTTCGTCGCATGTCTGGTTGCGAGGTCCCTTGACCCTCCCGAGGTGACCGATACCTCCTTTGAGACGCCCGCTGATTCGAGCCGATGGAGACAAGTAAGTAACTTTAGATGTTATCACTAATTTTTCGTTTGATATGTTCAAAATTACAATAGAAACTAATAATTTATCTTAATCACTTGGACAAGGGTTGGACGAAGGTTGGTGGGGGTGATCATGCATGCCATGTGAACGGCATCCTTGGTCTTTTGATCAAGGAAAAGTTCACTAACCTGGTGCAGTTCGGTAGAACTATCGAGTCGGCCTACACGTGGGCCCACTATGCCGCCGGCCTCGACACCCCTAATCGGGATGGCAGGGTATTCGCCGACAAGGCGCAGCGTGTCAAGGCTGAACTTTGGGTATGTCTTTCTCGCACTACATTGCTCAATACATCGCATTGATTGGATATTCTTGAAATAATGATTGGATACATCGCGTCTATATGCAGGATTTCTTTAGATGCGAGGAGGGATACGAGGCCAAGGTGGATGCTATGGCTAACAAAGCCGCCAAGAAACTCATCAAGGACATGCACTACGAGGCGCGCATCCATGCCATGATCCAATACCACGCGAAAATCCTTAGAGTGAGGGTCCCTAAAAGTGGGGCAAGAACCATGAGGCTGACCCCGGAACAATACCTGAAGGTAAATATAGAATATTAATACTTATTTTTTCTAAGATTAATTACGCTTAATTTCATCTTCTTATGTCATATACTTGATGACGTAGGTGCCTCCGTGGTGGTGCGCCTACGATCTACAGTGCTGGGCCCGGATGGTGGACAGGTGGTGCGACCCCGCGTGGGAGGAGAATCACAACGCTTGCCGGGAGCGGCGTTTGCTGATGCCGGGTGCACCACACCATCAAGGCAACCTCAACTTCTCAGGATACGCGGCTAGATGGGTACACGAATTCATTTCTTTATTCTAACGTTTGATTCTGCATAATTTCTAATCATATTGCTTTTTTATAGTCCGTGACACATGGTGGCGAGCATTGCTCCCAGTTCATGGCATATGCTTTGGCCCACAAGGGCAAGGCGACGGCCGACATCGCCTACAACCCAGAGGACCCGCCCTTGGCGTATAGCAACGAGTCCGTCCACAGCCACCTCGATGGATACACATCGATGGCAAGGGTGGTCCATGGCCCAGAGTATGATCCAAGCACCCATGACCTTGATGGAGAAGTGGTCATGAGGGTGGGAGGAGGCAAGAAGCATGGCCAGTTCTGGATTGGCGACGACACAATCGATACGGCCAGTACTCCCACTCTCTTCCAGATTCGAGCACGGAGCATGAGTTCCAGCCCGGCGATACGCCCACGGCCAGACTCTACATGGTTCCTAATGAACGCACTCTAGGTTATTTCTGTTTTATTCATCATTCATTGATTTTTACATACTTTTACATTGCATTGTAACATTGGGATGAAATATTATAGGCTCAGCTGGAACAAGAAACGAGGCACCGGGAGGAGCTAGAGGCGAGGATGGAGGCAGATCGGCAGATGATGGAGGTAGACCGGCAGAGGATGGAGGCAGAGGATGGAGGCAGAGCGGCTATAGATGTTTGAATATATGAGGGGTGTTTACGCTGCAATCGGTTAACCTCCGCCACCGATGCCAGTCCCTCCTCCACAATCTGCTCCAAATACTGTTTTAGGCACCGTGAGACACTTCACAACCTTATAATCACCATTTATAGTTTATGCAGAATCAATCTTACAAAGATGCCCAGACACTAGAAACTAGAAACTAAAAATAAATTAGAAACTAGAAACTAGAATGATTTATAGTTTACAAACTAGAAATAAAATAGAAAGTAGAATGATTTATCTCTTCTCCTTTGTGCAGAATCAATCAGCGGCATCGAACGAGCCTCATGACCCAGCGTGGTCACAGTGGACACCGTGGCCTCCTCAGTGACTACTTGTGATTTTATTTGCATTTGCATTTGTGGATTACTTGTGACTATTCAGTGGACACCATTGCACTCAGTGAATTTTATTTGCATTTGTGGTTGTGAATGAACCTACTTATGATTCTGAAGTTTATTTGCATTTATGTGTTGTCGATATATCTATATGAACTGCTTGTGATGCTTATTGTGAACTATGTGTGATGCATATAATGTTTATTTGAGTGGGGTACGTTATACGTGACCGAACCATAAAAACTAAAAATATATGGTCGCTTTGCCGGGTGTTACACTCGGTAAAGAGGCCTTTTGCGAGTGCCAAGGTAAAAACACTCGGCAAAGCGGACACGTGGCCAAAATCTGTACATTCTGGGCTAGTCTTTGCCGAGTGTCTGGGATTTGACACTCAGCAGAGCAGCCATGTTTGCCGAGTGTCCGGGATTTGACACACGGCAAAGCAGCCATGGACACTCGGCAAACAAGGGCATATTTACCGAGTGTCAGGGCCGGGGCACTCGGCAAACATGGCTGCTGTGCCGAGTGTCAAATCCCGGACACTCGGCAAACACGTCGTGGCTGTCTCCGCTCCATCATGTTACTTTTTTTTTGCCGAGCGTCGGTTTCAGCTTTCGGCAAAGTATTTGCCGAGTGCCCGATAAAAAACACTCAGCAAAGAGACGTTTGCCGGCACTGTAGATGTCGTGTGCTGTTTGCCAAGTGTTACACTCGGCAAAGCCTTTGCCGAGTGTTTTTTGGGCTTGTGGCACACGGCAAAGCTACTGTTTCCGGTAGTGACTCTTGGTGGTAAAGTGTTCATGGATCTTCGATAGTGAAAACTGGTGCGTTGAGGAGATATAGAGGCAACTGATGACGTGGAACTTTGTAGCACAAGATAGAATTTTTAGTGGGGTTTGGCTTTATAATAGATATAGATTAATACAGTGGGTATGCAGCTATCCGCTAATCAATTCTGATGGCTCAACTTGTGTTTGTGTACTTTGTGGTGGACTAGCGGAAGCCCGCATATATAGCCCACAAAACTCACAGATCAATATGCTTACTAATAGTGTTGCTATTGCTATTGAAATCAAATCTTGGATAGATGTATACATGATCAAATATAGATTACATGATCTAAGATGACTGAAGAACTCTTAGCTTCTTTCAGCGAGTTAAATCAATACCTCACAGGGCTTTTGAATATCGATAGAGTCATCAACAACACTAAAATGATCTTCATAAAAGTTTAGGATAATAAATCTTTGACACCAACAATACAATGAAGTAAATAAAAAATCGAAGCCTCTTCTTTGTTCACATGCGCAAACTTCGAAAATAAAAACTTTGACAATCAGAACTGCAGGCCTGTAATATGAAGCCCCAGCCCAGCTTGGTTGCCCTCTCCTGGAATTTCATTAGTCTCTCCTGCAATTTCAAAACTGAGACGTCACCACCATTCAACTATTCAAGAAACAACAACTGAGAGATAATAACCCTGCAACTTTAGAAAGTAGTAACGCCTTTCATTTTTAATTGCAGTGCACCTACGCAAGAAAATAAAAAACAACTCTTTGGAAATTTCCATGCCACTATATCAATGTAAAGGTATATCCATTTTTTTGAATAGAAGACAGTAAGATGAACAAGTCTTCTAGCGCATGTTAAGCTATATGCCTTTGGAAATTTCCATTCAACTATATCAATGCTTTTTTGGAAAGAAGACAGTAAGATGTTAAGCTATATGCCTTTTTGAATACCTTTGCCACTAAATTTCCACTTGGTTTCCTGCATGTTAGTGGCAAAGTTATTCAAAATCAGATAAAATGCTACCACAGAAGTAAAACTTTGTGTAATTTAGCACTTTATCTGATTTTATTGTGTGGTAGCATTGACATAAGTATTGAGATTATAAGACAATTTTTCGACATTTGCATGATGCAATCTGATGTGCCATAACTTGTACTGAGACAGGCCAATTTCAAGCAGGCACTTGCATCTAGAAAACGTCCAAAGTCACATGTTGAGGTGCCATTCAATGGTGATGAACATATACATGATGCTGAGTGTTCTTGTGCAAAAAGATCGATGAGAACACAGCAAAAACTGGCAGTTTTAGTTCAAGATTCTGAAAATGCTTCAGTTTCTAAGATGGGCACTCCCTTATCTGCATTGGAAATTTCTCTAACATGGTAAGGGTGGTCTTCATGTGCTTTTTCACTGTATAATAATGAGTAGTAGTTCAGTGCTAATGAGTTAGCTTATCTGTGGTTCCCCAGGACACTCAAGACACCCAAAAATTGTTGTGTGTGACAATGTGAGTTTGCTGCATTATGTCGCTTTTGGAAAGTTAACATTTGCATCCAAGGCATTTATAATGTCTTTTCATGATTGCATGTCAATATTTTTGTAGGTGCAAAATCAGTTGGAGAGAAAAAAGCCCCTCCTCCGTAAGGTTTACACCTCGAAGAAAAGTAAGTGGTTGCACTAGTACTGATTAGAGTCACCAGTACAAGATGGTTTGTTAAAATCTGAGGAGTGTGGTACAACCTGCAGGGCTTAGTAAGAAAAAAGAAGACTTTGAAGGACCACATAGTCTACATGGTCCATTAGAGTTGCCTAGTACGGGTCAAAACATAGGAGTAAATGAAATAGCTGAGTCACAGAGAGAACCTTCATTAGTAGTAAGTACATTCTTTGTGATTACTTCTGTTATCTATTAGATTCTCACTTGAAGGGCTAACTGCTCAAGACAATAGAATTACTGATGTGCTCACACACAACTCTCATACACAGGTTCCATTTGTGAAGAACTCATGTTTATGGTCTGCAGTGGAAGAGATGAATGTGTTTAAAGAGTTTCCACAACAACCACATTTTCTTCCACTTCAGCAGGAATATCCTCGCACACTACAAGGAGGAATGGCTTTTGGTCTGATGGTGGCATTTGATCTCTTCGTGAGGAGTATAAGCAAATCAAGCATAGCAGACAATGAGGGATCATTTGAAGAGGAAAAAAGTACACTTTCTGCACTAAAGATTAATGGGTTTGATGTTCAATGTTTTGAACGCTTGCTGGATGAATTGATTAAGGTGAAATTTGAATACAGCAAACATCTTGAAGAGAAATCTGCAGTTCAAAGACAGAAGCAGCAAACAATGAATTCTTTGTCTCAAAATGATTCATTACTTTGTGAAATTGATAATGATATAGCTGAGCTTGAGAAGAAACTTGGCCTCCTTCGCCAGAAAGGACAGCTTATTGAGAAGGAGAAAGAACATGACGAGGAAAAGCTTTCAAGACTGAATGTGGTGGAAAGCAACATAGAGCAAGCACTTGATGTCCATACACTGCAGTTCAATGGCATCTTGGCTGAGGTGAAACAGAAACGCCTAACTTGAAATGCAGTAAAAACTTATTGTTTGGCATCAATGTGATTTTGGATCAACTTCCAACGGCCATTTGCTACATTATGTGCATCTGCAAGATGTAATATATTTGCTAGTTGGACCTTATATTTGGCTCTTTGCTGTGCTCAGTTTGTGATGTAGTATATTTGCTAGTTGGACCTTATATTTGGCGCTTTGCTGTGCTCAGTTTGTGTGGAAGTAGAACCTTCATACCTGCTAGGATTTTGTCAATTGACTTACACTCTTACACTGAGTGATATCTGGTAACTTTGGTTGTTGCAACAGTACTTGTGCGGGTCTCGTTTGCTGCTTTTAATCAAAACATGACATGCTTGCAACTAAGCTGTTGCTTTATTGTAACATCCCTGACTTTTGTACCATGATTGTAATGTCAATCCTGCTTTCTGAGAAGTGTGCATTACATCTTACACTTGCTCATTTTTTATTTTCTTATGAAGATGAATTACTATCTAATTACAAAAAACCACCATTATGGTCAGTTGTCATCATATTTTTGCTTTTAACAGTAATTAAGGAATACAAAGAAAAAGAACCACCACTTGTCAGTGTATCTTTGATGAACATGATGGATATGTCGCTGAGTTTTGTGTTTTGTAAGTTCCATCACTGAAATTATCTAAGAGGCATAAATATTAAAAAAAAAATGTCCAGGTTTGTTCTAAAAAGCAATAGAAAAACTGAACTGCTACAAATTTAGGTATTCAGAGAAACTGTGTCCGCAAAATGAGAAGGATTAAATAAACTCAAAAATATGCAAAACCATGATCCAAAGCTTTTTTTTCTGATTCAGCCAAAGCTATATTTTGAATGGACCTGCAAGTGGCAAAAACTTTGTCAATCACTTTTAGGGTAAATGAAATGGGTGATCAGGCCCACTGCATTTGCTTTGGGAAAAGATAGTAGAACAACAGAAATTGAAAGGTTATATAAACCAACATAAATGAAATGTCTTTTGGCAATATGCAAGTAAAGAAATTACCCAATTTCACCTGAGGCTCAGCCTAAACCTTATTTAGAAACAAGTTGTGAACCTGCAAAACAAATAATTATTTTTGACTATTTTAAGGCAATTTCTAATTCATGTGGTGTATCTTATAGGCCCCTATAGATTATACCATGATGGACATATGCTTACCAGGATTGTATTTAAACATAATTGAGTATAGAATAGATGGGCTGGACAGAGTATGGCCATAATCAGACAATTTTCAGGCAATTGTATCTCTCTTTTTTTTTATTATTTTCTTGTACACTCAGGATAAAAGGAGTTTAGATTGCTCATACAACCCCTAAAGTAGCATGATATCTCCTCGTTCTGTTCTCTGCTAGCCATTCTGTTCTTTTTTTTAATTATTTTCTCGTACACGCAGGCTTTAAACTAAAATTGCACATGGCACTGATGGCAGGGAAACCCACCAAGGGTACTTGGCAGTGCTACATGGACACTGCTGTGGGTGTCATCAGTATCCAATTTGGGTACACCTACCGGTGTCTGACTCCGCAGATTTTTTGGGGACACACCAAACTGCACCTGGAATTCAACATGGGTGCAGGGTGTCTGGGTAGCACTGGTTGTCAAGTGTTTTAGCTAACCAAAGCCATCTCATTCTCAATGCCCAGAAAAAAGATTTTGGATCATGAATGCCAAGACCATCAAGTCCTCAAAGGTGACAGACCATGGCCATGCAATCAGCAGTGACCTGCCCTTAGCATCTTTTCTTCCATTGCAGAGAGAAACCCCCATCTGATCTTGTCAATCAATATCATTGACAGCCCAAGGAGAAAGCCAGAAAGGTCCATAGCAAAGGCCTCGTAGACCACCGTTGAAGGGATCATAGTGCTCTAGCTCGGTTCATTAGGCAGCCATCCAACCTGGTAGTTGGTCAGCAATGCAGTCAATGATACTAGTTTTTTTTAACTAAACAGTCAATAATAGTTGTAGCTGAGCTTCAGTCACCGACTAGGCAATTCAGGTAAAAAAAGAAGTTTCTAACAAATTGTTCTTGTGGCATGATGAGCGTCATTCTTTGTATTCAAATCCACTGTGCATTCATCTAATTCAGTGCATAGTACAATATCCGTATAGCTTTTGAAAAGAATGATACGGTATTAACAAAAAAGAACTTCACATGTACAAGTCGTCATCAATCATATTAATCAAGTTGGATCTTTACCTCATTCTCTCCGCATAATGCACATGATTTACAATCTCAGGCACTTATTAGGAGTGCCCTAGGAAACAGCCTAGAGGAAGTAGATTAATCATGGATACTTTGCCCATTCAGCACCCAAAAATAGCCATGAGAATTATCCACTAATGACCTCCACGCCAAAATTTCCAAAGAATATCACAAGCTTGTAGAAGACAGTACCAACTGTGAGTTTCTTTTGTCTAATATATATTGAACTACAACCTCTCGCTATGGTTAGGGCAAACTTAGGCCCACACTGAACATGTAAAGGGTAAAAAAAAATCATTTTACGCATGTAAAGGTCGAATAATATTTACGGCTTTATGCAATGTTGGATTTTCCAAGATCCACAAGAGGTTCATAATTCCTCAGGTTTATATATAATAGCAGTAGTATAGAACTTCCATAATAGAATAGCAGTAGTATAGAACTTCCATAATAGAATGACTAATATATGTCCATCGGAAATGAGGTGATTAATAGAAACGCTTGATTCATGTCTACACCTGTAGATGCGTTTTCATAGACACGTTTGCATTCGTGTCTAATGATATGCTCTTTCAATTACTGTCACTAATATTGTAACAAAATTATAACAAAGAATAAAAGAGGCATCCAATTATAAATTACATTCAAACATAATTCAGAAGTCAAATTCCAATCAATTCCTATTGCAAATACTGTCTGAAATAGTGTGTTACAGTTCCGCTGATGACATGTCTAGAAAAATGGAAATATGACTAATTTTGCCCTATGATACATTCAATCTTCTACAGTATCAATCAGATATCAGGTTTCTGTTTCTCTTTGCACCCATATATATATTAGCCAATACTGAAATCCGTGAGCCTGATATCTTCAATTCAAACCACCATCCAAGAACTGTCGTCTTTTCAATGAACTTGAAGATATTTATCTGCTGAGCGTCCTTTTTTTTGAATTGCTGATCATCCTTCTGCACGGAAAAATGAACTATGTTATAGATAAATATAGGCATTCATTGTAGCCACCAAATTTAACTGCCAATTGTATATCACTTGTAGACACCACTCGATCTTAACTATCGATTATACTCTCATTGATTTGACAGGTACAGTATGCCTAGAGGCAAAAATACTCATTATTAGTTCAGAATGTAATGGTAACATGTAAATAGATTTTTAGTTAGAAAACAAACAAATCCTTATACTTGATCCAACTAACAAATAGTTGTATAGCTGATGCATGTTCAAAGTAAAGATAAACATGTAGTGTAAAGAAGCACATAATACTCCATGGTGGCGAAGTGTGTCGCGACGAAGGCCTAAGGCGGTGAGGAAGGGTTTCAACACTTTGGTCATTCTCCTTGTTTGGATGCTTTGGAAGCATAGGAACCGTTACGTCTTTGAGGCGAGCGAACAAGGACACTTGTGGACCTTGGCCGGAGCTAAGGCACTGAGGTTGTTACAAGGCAACTGAACAAGGACACTTGTGTTTCCATATGTATAAGGGCGCGAGTGTAACAAACCACTAACCAAGCCGTGGATTCGGCATGTAATCAAACCATTTTCTACATATTAATGAAATGACATGCAGCTCTCCTGCGTGTTCGAAAAAAAAAGAAGCACATACTTGGCTGAATACTATTGGAAGAAAACAAGATTAAAAGTGACATGTGCATAGTTTCAAAATTTAATCAGAATCTTGAGGTATTACTCTACGCTATACTGTGTCAAGACATGATTTACCAATAGTCTCTACTAGCAAGCAGAGTTTAGTCACATTTCAAATTTCTATAGATTCCCCTCACAAATCAATAAAATATATCCAGAAAAGTAGATCATGTTGTGCAGCTGGCAGGCGAGTGCATAGTAGTCCAATGCCTGGTGAAAAGAGAGCAGCAGCTTGGTAGGTATATTATCAGCAGTTATTTAAATCTGGAAGCTGGATAAAAGAGAAGAGATTAGAAGCAATTATCACAAGAAGGTGCTAAAGCTAGAAAGAACTTGGGGTGTAGCAGGAGGCAAACACTTAGCATCCCTGTATTCTAGAGAGTAGCCATATCCTATATTATTTCTGTAATTTTTTTATCCTCTCCATGGGATTTTGTTGCCTTCTTCTCTATTAATCGATCAGCAGCCCTAAACTAAGTACAAAATCACAGAAACATGGTAAGTACCCTAAATTCATTTGTATCTCCAAATGGAACAAAAAGGCGGCACACATTAGATGGTTAGAATCAGTTTTAGTTGCGTTGTACTAAATGGCCGGGATTTGTAGTCCTCAATCTAATCATCATAAACAAGGAGAAAAAGTATGAACCTTAGTGTGCTTCCTGAAATGCCGACCATGACGCTCCCCTCTTCGATCCCTGAACCTCAACCAATGCAACACACAGGCAACCGGCAATGTCAGTTCTGTGAGAAAAAAGCATGATCCGTCAGCCACATGAACATGACTATAGGGCTAGGATCTGAACTTGCCTCTGAACCCAAACTGATCTACCACTACAGACGCAAAATCATTCTACTTCATTCGTACTTGAACAGAGGTAAGGGTACGACATACCTCACACGTTGAGCTCCAAGTGCAGAGTTCAGCAACCTGCAGATGCTGTCGCTATCTTCACAAGCATCTCATTGGGAGGAAAAGAGCCTAGGTCAGCACCGCACGCAACAACTCCCCCTAGTAAGTGGCAACCCTTCCCTGATCATCACAGGGGAGCACGACGCAGCCACTGACCTCGCTGGTGCCGACAAGGTAGACCAAACGCCAGAGCAGCCACCATGCATGGACGCCTCGACCTAGATCACACGCGCGCTCCCTGAGGTCGCCACGGGTGCTTCGACCTGCGCACCCCTTTTCTCCCAGCATCCGCGGTCCGCCAGACTGGAGAGGGATGAGTGCACCTTGTGATGAGTCTTGCTTGCTGCCTGCCAGGCAAGTTTGCAGCCAGGCAAGCGTCGTCTTTCCCAGGCCATCACAATCCAACACCTGGGAATCCTAGCCTGGGCCAGGTAGATTCTCAGTACACCAAGCAAACAGGCCTATGTTAGCAACCCAACTGGATTACTCATGGGTAACTCGACTCAAGTAACAAGCAAGGTACAAGACCTTAGGGAAAGGGAGGTCGGAGCAGAGAAGAAAGGAAGAACAGGGTACAAAGAGATAGACTTGGGAGGAAGATGAACAGTAAACTAGGAAGAAGTATTCTGATGTTGATAATTTGTTTGATGTCCTCACCGCTGCTACCCTTCTCTTGTAGATGACTTCCAGCGGTTCAGCAGGCATTGCTAGACTAGGCCCATGCGCACGGCCCATATGAAGGCCCAACCATGGGCAGTCCCTGACATTCCCCCCTTCTTAAGCTTCGGCTTGCCCCCAAGCCGATGGAGAAGTATGGAACCACTGAGATGCCAAGGAAACTGCAAGCACCTGATTTGGATCAGAAGTGTGATCTTGATCCCCATAGAAGAAGGTAATTGGAGAAGCTCCTTTGCCTCTGCAGTTGGAGCAGCATGCAGAATGACATCACACGTTTGCTGTCCATGTCATTTCTTCATCCTTGAGTAACGAATCACATGTTCACGTTCAGTTGGAGCAGAATAGAAACAAGGATGCCATTGACAAGAGCAGGCAACAAATGTATTCAGCTTGCTGGCAATTGAATTGGTCCTGAGTGAAGAAGCAGTTACCAAATACTTGTCATATACAAGGATTGAGAGGAAATTGCAGTCCCAGCAAGTGTGCATATAATTATATGTGACTGTAAAATCAGCTTGCCCATCCATGAGTGCTACCAGCGCAAGCAAATGGCAAGAATAGCGCACAATTGTAATTTGAAGAATTCCAGTTTCCATCAGAGTTGCTGACACACTAACAGCATGTATTCCTGCTACTTCAAGTGGATAATACTGAAATAGTGGTTACCAGCACAAGCAAATGGCAAGAACAGCGCACAATTGTAATTTGAAGAATTCCGGTTTCCATCAGAGTTGCTGACACACTAACAGCATGTATTCCTGCTACTTCAAGTGGACAACACTGAAATAGTGGTTGCATATTAGATGTTACTGTAACCACGAGATGTTCACCTTCCACCAGAAATTCTCTTTTGAGCATGTATGCACGTGATAGAATCATGCCCCATTGACCAACACTAAGTAGCAGCATAGCTCTCCTATCATTGATGAGATGCAGAAGGATTATAGTCAGAGCCTGAAGCTTTCCAGGAAACAACTGAATCATGTATACCCATAACCATGTGCATGACAACTTGATATCGTTGAGTTCAGCAACTTGCACTGCATTTTGAAGTAACTCTAGCCAGAGCTTCCAACACTCTTGACAGCTTACACAATGGAAGAATGGAACTGTAGACTGGCGCAATGAGCAGCTAATCACAAAACTCACAGATAACACAAACCATGTCCCATTGCTTTGGGGTGGTGGCCATGGGGGCTTGTACTGCACAGCAACCCAGCCTAAACAGACCAGTGACCAGAAACCAAAATAGAGTTTGAGTGGAATTCACAAGCATAGTATTCACTGAAAGTGATGTCTTCAAGTGCACAGGGGCTGCATAACCACAGAAAAATGGCTAAGGAATTGGCCTGAGATGGACTGCATCAAAACTGATATCAATGCAGAGCTTCATCTGATCAGATTGACCTTGTGTAGGTGGCAACCATGGTTGAGAAGCTATACTGGTATGAACTATAATGTGCACAACACCTCTGTCATAACCTCTTCCATGATTAACTATTTTCAGCTTGCAAAGAACAGATGCATTCATCACCTCAGGATCAAGCAATGATATACCAAGAGGTACAGGAAAAACAACGAATCTCCTTGGTCTCATCAAGCATTTCCAAGACTCTACAAGTGCAGCAAGCACACCCCAGATTGTTGTTGAGTTGATACATACCATGGGGGCTTCTAGAGTCGGTCGGGGTAACCCGTGACAGAGTTCCTCACAGCCATGTTGAACGACAGCCATGGTGTAGGCCGTAACTCAGCATCACAACCCGTCAACCTCAGTTCGTCAGGTGGTGGCCATGGTTGGTGTTGATTGACTCCCATCGACATATGACTCAGCAGCTCGAAGCCATACAGATGTTGCGGAAGATGTCGACATGCAGTGGCAATACCTCGAACACCTGGCGTTCACCCAAGCTGGCATGCTCCAAAGATATCGAACTCAACATGGCAAGGCTGGGGGTTGAGGCACCTGTAAGTGTAGATGTCGGTGATGACGTTGGTGTAGTTCCAGCAACGTGTGCCGACGAAGCCATCCCGTGGGACCCATTCACGGCCATGGCCCATCTCGCCGATGAAGGCGACGTTCATGCCGGCGGTGGCGCAGGCGACGAGAGACGGGAACCTGCCACGGCCCCCACGGCGTGCCTGCTGCTCGGCCCCCACGGCGAGGAGGAAGGGCGCTGCCTGCTCGCCCGAGGCCATCGAGGCCAGCTCCAGCACGCGGTACGTGGAGGAGAGCGGGACGGCCGGCGTCGGGTTGCGCGACGACTGCAGCGAGAAGATGTCGGAGCGCGAGGCATTGGCGCGGCGGACGATGGCGTGTAGCTTGCCGTCCTCCTTGTCCTCCGCCTCCGTCTCGATGGCGTCCCTCCGGCCGTCGAGGGAGACGATGTCCGGATCGACGACGATGGAGGGGATGGCCCCCGAGGGAGTCTGAGCGGCCACGAGGTTGAAGAATGGGTCTAGGACGTGCAGAGACTGGTGGGTCTCTCCATCTCTGAGTCGATGCGGTCACGAGGGTCCATATTGCCGGGGAAGACGCGCACGGAGCTGGTGGGTTGTGGCGCCGTGGCGAGCGCGAGGGAGATGCAGATGTAGGCACCGTCAGTAGCTTCAGTGGTGGCCGGTTCGTCGGTAAGCCAGTGGCTGGCGCGGATGCGCCCCTCTAGGATGTGGGCGGGCTGCTCGAAGAGCCCACCCCGGTTGTCACAACGTCGGCTCCGACCGCGATGTTGCCGTGGAGCACGACAGGACGGAGGCTGAGGCGGTCGACGGAGGGAACACGTGCTAACTGGACCCAATGGTCTAATTGGTCTTTTGATTCGTGCCTTGATCGGGCGCCCAGCCCATCATGGCTGAAGGGCCCCTGTCACACTACGCTATAAAAAGAGGTGGGGGCCGGCGGCTCTTATCACAAGGTTGACTTGAGCCGAGCTCCCCATCAACACCAAAACCCTAATCCGATCAGAGAGGGGCGCAGCAAGTGACGGAAAGACACCAGCCGCGACGCCCGCTCCAACGACGTCGACGTCTTCATCGCCCTCTTCACCGACCATCGCTGCCCGTGCACAGACTACACCAACGAACGTGATGGCGTCCACTGAACCCTCCCCTTTGCGGTGTCAGGTTCAACACCTTCTCCCTTCCCTCTTTGTCTCTCTAGTTCTACATGTATTAGAATGAACTGTGTCTTTTATCCCGAATAGAATCACTCTACCGGCTAGATCTATGATCCTAGTGATCCTACAACACTAACAATGATACCAGAGCCATCAGTTTCTAGGGTTTTTAGATCTAGAACGGGTAAACTGATTAGAAAAGGAAGTAGAAGGTTAGATCTAGTGTGGGTCTAACAAGAACAGAGGGTTCGGTTCAGCCCTAACCCTAACTGGGTTAAGGAAAGGAGAAAAAGAATAGGGTTTCGTCCTTAAGGACGTAAGAGCCGAACCCTAAACCCGTAAAAGACTTCACGGGGAAGATAAACAGTGAAACCCTAACCCTAACTTCGATCCCCACCCTAAATCGGTTGAATCCGAGAACAGAAACAGAGAAGCAAATCTTAGGGGAATGTTGGGGAAAGGGAGGCCTACCTCGCCGCTGCGCAGCGCTACTGCCTCACCGGTGCGCGGGGAGAAGAAGGCCGAGCCAGGGGCGCTGCTCGTCGGGCTCTAGCCAAAGAGGCGCCATGGCCAGGCCGCTCGACGGCGGCGTGCTCACCCGCTGGGGAGCGCGCTCGCCGACGAGGGGGCCGGCAAAGGCGCCGGGCTCTCTGCTCGCTCTCGTCGCCATTTCGCCCGCTCGACTCGCTCGGTTGCCGCTGTCGCTGTGCTGGGGAGAGAGGCGAAGAGAGAGGAAAGAAGGCAGCAAATGAATTAGGTTTTCGGGGGGAGGGCGCCCCATCGATGTTTTTGATCGGCCGATCTCACCGCGTAGCCGTCGGATCGAAACGGACGGTGCTGGTTGATCGGGCCGACTTGCGGCCCAGGTGGGTGAGAGCACCACGTGGTTTTGCCAGCCCAGGCCCAGGTTGCGGCCTAGGTGCGGGCAGCGCGTGAGGAGAGAAGTTGGGCCGGGCCGTTTTGCCGGCTGAGCCGAATCAACAGTGCTGAAATGAATCAGTTTTTCTTTTTCTTTTTCCAGTAAATTTTTATTTCCTAGAAATTGATTAATGGCTTAAAAAAGAAAAGAGAATTTTCCTGTGGGTAAAATTCACTAAATTGAGATTATTTTTTCGCTGCGTATTTAAAGTTGTTATTTTCATTATTAAATTCGAACCAATGGAAGAATTTAATTTTGAAAATGGATATGTTTTAATTGATTATAATATTGTTATTATTCTAACCAATGTTGATTAATGGCAATATTATGATGTTTTGTCATACATTAATTCTATTTCTGTCCAATGGTAATGTAGAATTAATGTAGAGAATAATTGTATGTTTTAATTTTAACCAACGTTGAAACTAAGACATGCAATTGTTATTGTTATTATTTATGTTCTCACTCTATATGAATTGTGTTTTCAGGCGGATACAACTTGATGGGTTGTATCAAAGAGATCCCCACTCTCAAAGGTGATAACTACACGGAGTGAAAGAAAAAGATTGACCTGGCCTTCATCTTGGCTGAGGTGGACTGGGTAGTCACCCACGTGTCCCATAGAGCCTATGGCACCGGTGAGGGAGACAAATGAGGCTGATACCGCTTGGGCAACAAAAGAGAGGGATTTTGCATCCTAAAGGATGTCCTATGACCTTGAGCATAGGAAGTGGGTCACTGCCAAAAAGAAATATTTGGCTATGATAAAGAACACGGTTGAGCCTGCAATTGTGGGCTCAATCCCAGAGTGTGACACCGTCACCAAGTACCTCGAAAGAATAAAGAATCAGTTCACTGGCTCTTCAAAGACATATGCTACCCAGTTGATAAAGCAACTGGTAACAGAGAGGTACTCTGGTAATGGTGGCATAAGAGAGCATATACTAAGGATGAGCAATTTAGCATCCAAGCTAAAACCAATGGATCTAGCTCTCAAGGATGAGTTTCTTATCCATCTGATTTTTGCTTCCTTGCTAAAAGAGTTTGACACTTTTGTTGTCAACTACAACATACAGCCCAAGAAGTGGGACATGGAGAGGCTCATGGCTATGTGTGTGCAAGAGGAGGAGGGAATGAAAGCTGCCAATGGTGGCTCTATCAATTATTTGAAAGACAATAAGAAAAAGAATATTAATGCTAACTTCTCCTCAAAGTCAAAGAGAAAGGGTCCCATGCTGCATCAGCCTCAGCAGAACAAGTTCACAGTAGAGAAAGACCAGTGTCTCTATTGTAAGAAGACGGGACATTATAAGAAAGATTATTCCGATTACTTAAAGATGATCATGGCAAAGAAAGGTGAGAACATTATTACGTTCATAAATGAATCCCTGTATGTATAGTATTCGAAATCTACTTGGTGGATTGACTCAGGTGCAACTGTTCATGTTGCTAATTCTTTACAGGAATTCCGTTCGACGAGGATTACGCAAAGAAGCGAAAGACACATTAAAGTTACAAATGGAGTCCGAGCAAAAGTTGAAGCCGTTGGCGATCTTTCTCTAGAGCTTGCTGATGGTTTCAAACTTATACTTAGAGATGTTCTTTATGTTCCCTCATTACAGAGAAACTTGATTAGTGTTTCATGCTAGGACAATGATGGATATGATTGCTATTTTGGAAATGGCAAATGTAAGATAACATTTAATAATGCATGTGTTGGTCTTGCTATCTTACAAAATAAGCTTTATCTGTTATCACTACGTTATGATGTGAATGTTGTATGCGATGATGGGAACGTTGCATGCGACAATGTGAATGTATCCTCGTCTGCGGATGTAAATAGAAAAAAGAAAGAGAGCTCACGATGCATTGTCGAAATTATGGCACTGTCGTTTAGGCCATATTTCGAGGGGGAGAATAGAAAGACTAGTTAAGAATGATATTCTTCCTCCATTAGAGCTCTCAGATTTAGAACAATGCAGAGAATGCATTAAAGGAAAGTATATAAAGAAAATTAAGAAAGATGCCAAACGAAGCATAGGAATTCTACAGATTATTCACATAGACATATGTGGTCCGTTTCCTATAAAGAGTGTGGATGGTTATGATTTGTTCATAACATTCACAGATGATTACTCCCGTTATGGCTATATTTATCCAATCAAAGAAAGAACAGAAGCATTGGATAAATTTAAGATATTTAAGGCAGAAGTTGAAAACCAACATAATTTAAAGATTAAGATAGTCAGGTCCGACCATGGGGGAGAGTACTACGGTCGGCATACCCCATATGGCCAAGTTCCTGGACCTTTTGCAAGGTTCTTACAGGAGAATGGCATAGTAGCCTAGTATTCTACATCGGGCGAACCTCAGCAGAATAGAGTAGCTGAAAGGCGCAATCGTACCCTGATGGATATGGTGCGCAGTATGATAAGTTACTCCACCTTACCGATGAGCCTGTGGATGGAGGCGTTAAAAACCACCATTCATATTCTCAATAGAGTACCAAGTAAGTCGGTGCCTAAAACACCGTATGAGTTGTGGACAGGAAGAGTACCCTCACTAAACCACTTACGTGTGTGGGAGAGTCATGCTGAGGCTAAAGTATTTAACCCAAACATTAGGAAACTAAATCCCAAAACAGTGAGTTGCCATTTCATTGGTTACCTAGAAAAGTCAAAAGGTTTTCGTTTCTACTGTCCAGACAGACATACAAAGTTTGTGAAAATGAGACACGCAGTCTTCCTAGAGGATGAAATGATAAGGGGGAGCATGGTAACTCAAGAAATTGACCTTGAAGAGAAGCGGGTGTATGCGCCCACTCCGATGATTCATGAGCCATTTTTCTCACTACCTGCTGTCGCTGCACCGACAGTGCAAGATACTGTGGTGCCAGCACCTGTTGTTATTCTGCCTGTGGCAACAATGAATGATGATGAGGAACCTATTCTTCAAGATCCTATAGAACCTATTGCCACAAATGAAGGGGAGCAACAACAGCCTCAAACAGAAGATGTGCCAAATATGGAGGCCCCTAGAAGGTCTCAAAGAGTTAGAAAATCAGCTATTCTTGCTGATTATGAAGTGTATAACACTGAGGAATTTCAAATGGAGGATGATCCCACCTCATTTGAAGAAGCCATGAGAAGTGATCATTCATCAAA